TACCAGTACTAGTACTAGTAGTACTAGTAGCAGTAGTAGTATTGGCCCTAGTAACTAGTAGTTGTTGTTGTTGCTGTTGATAGGAGTATGAGGCGGAGGAGGAGGAGGAGGCGCAGGAGGAGGAGGAGGAGGAGGAGGAGCAGGAGTCGGAGGAGGAGATGTAAGCAGCGCAAGTAAGAGCACTAGCCGGCGCGAGGAGCAAGAGTAGGAGGAGGAAGAATCGAGTAGGCAAAGTATGAGTAGGAGCAGGAGGAGGAGGCGAAGTTTGAGTGGGAGCAGTGAGAGGAGCGGGAGGAGTAGTAGGAGTACGATGAGGTAGGAGAAGCAGGAGGCGGAAGAAAAAGCAGGAGCAGACGAGGAATAGGAGTGCTACGTGTTTCTGCAAGGGCCCGTAACCAGACCAGCGGTCCTGAATTAGGTGCTTCACGTAATAATTGACGCGTCGAAAGCCGTGGCTCGTAAGGCCTCACGAAGACCAGGACATGCAACGTGTACCCTCTCAATCATAGGACAAACATGACAAAGGCACGCGAGCGCCAAATCAGACCATCGAAGAGTGGCGAGAGAAGTGTTGGGGCACCTCGGATTCAGATCCTTTCCCAAGCAGACTGGATCACTTGCCCAACAGGTTTTAAGCCAGTCCCTCAGAATGGCAATAACACCTCTGCAATCTGGCAGCTGTTGCAAATGCGATGAATGACCTCTGGGACTGCACCAAGGCGGCCGCGATTCCACAAAATGACTTGAGGTCCCTGCCTCCGGGTGCCGCGTGAACAGTGCGTCGCAGCCATAGTAGTACACGTCGCGATCTGCACGGATGATCAGAAGGTCCTGGCTGACGTATCAGGTGCCATGATGTGCCGCAGCCTCTGGCCTAGGAATGCCTAGGACTTGCAGGACTCCTCAATAATTGCGTTGGCCACCGACAAACTCCCGCTATCGATGGCCCAGTACAGCGGAGAGATGGACTGTGTTCCCACCTTGCCGGAGCAGATGGAGCAGGCGAGGGTCTTTTCCGAAACTATAGCTCTCCCTTTCCGAAGAAGACGCGGGGCCCGAGGTTTCTAGCCACCCTACGTGGCTTCATGTGTCTGGGGGCTGTAAGGCAACGAACACCACGGACACAGCAAGCATCGCACACAGATTGCCGCTAGGCTCACAAGGACACATTGACACCTGTTCGGCTGGACAGCACCCCGGCAAGTTTGTCTCTTCCTGCCCATGACAAAGGAGTGAGCGCAGCAGTGGACCGGACAAGCTCGCAGCCACGCGACGGAAACCTCGAGGAGTTGCTTTGCACGCTGGCCACGAGGCGCCAAAGAGATGGCCTTCTTCAGCTCCACCTCGCCCCGGCAGTTTTCAAGCGCTGAGCCCGAGCTGCTCAGGTTCGCATGCAAGAATCGGCTCAGCCATGTCCAGCCTCACTGTTTGTGTTGATCGCCTTCATGACCACCGTGGATCCTGAGGAAGGTCAAGAAACCTTCTAGCTCCAGACTTGCCTCGGGACCGGGGTGCCTTCCATGATGACCCGGCTCAGGATCTTGGAGATCAGGGTCAGGCACCTTAGTTTTTCTCGCGTTGGACACAAGGGATCCACGTGGCCCGCGGGTGCGGAAGATCCCTGGAATCAGAACCATGAGAGGAGATGGCGTAGCTCTTCGCTCGAGGAAGCTTCACACACCACCATTCCCGCCAGGCCACCAGCTGTAAGCCTTGGGGGCCATGTCCTGAGTTTTGCATAGTCGTTCTAGGCTAGACCTGCCCGCTCGGCTTTTGCCCACGATGCCAAGGAAACGGAACTGCAAGCAGAAAACTTTGCAGTCTACTCTTACAACTTCTGCAAAAAAACCGGGAGGGAAACTTGTTGGAAACATTCGCGTCACGTCCAAACGGGTAACAGGACCGGTACTGCGGCTCGATGCGCAGAAAGCAACTTGAGCAACGCATAACTGGCATAGCTCTTGTAGTGCACAAGTGGACACGGATGCAGATGGACGAGAGGCTCGGCTCACTTTTTGTGATGTATTGATGAGAGACATGCGAAAAGGGTCGCCTACCCCTGACAACGGCTTGCAACGGCATGTCTGTGGCAAAGAGCGACACGCGCTAAAAGTGAGAATACATGTGCTGATTGTGTGGCTGCGCTACCTTTCCATCACGGTGCTGACAGAGCATAGCCCTGCGCCCCGAAGCCATGTGTCGTCAGTAGTGAACTCGGCAATGGTGTCGCTGAGGCAAGCGACGAAGGGTGGGATCAACCTGGAGATGAGTGTACACGCCCCAGTCTGGCCGTGCGCACATGATTTTTTCATACTCCGAGGATTCACTCCGTGGAATGGAGACTCCGAGGCGCTCAATGGGCACACCGTAGCCAACGTGACGAAGACCTGCGACATATCGTCAATGTGCAGAGACGGCGACTAGACGGCGACATTGGCGGGGGACATAAGCATAAGCATGGCCGCAACGATGTCCATGGTGACAATAACCGACAAAAGAGGACAAAAGCGGACAAAAACGGACACAAAACGGACAAAGAACGGAGAGAGCCAGAGAGCATGACATGCCAATAGCCTCAATCGGAAGCTCTCAAGCAGGCCTAGGGCCGAAATGTCCTCAACCAGCTTCAACGGGCTGGCAAACATCCTGAGAATGGATCTCGAAAGGCTTCACACAACTTCGAGATGGTCCACCTCGGGGCTATCTGACAGCAACAGGCTGCCGTGGACTGCATAGCAACAGACCACCTGCAACATTTAAAAAATCCAAAGCCCGGGATCTCAACGGTCATCTCGTTGATCTTGTCTAGGATGAAGTACAAGCGAGTGGTGGACTGCTTGAAATACTCCTGGCAGCATTTGCTTGGATGTCACAATCTCTGAATCTCTGAAACAGAGACTGCATGTTGCGGGGAAGCCACCAGGTCAAAGGCCAATTGAAGGGGCCCTGCAGACCCTGCAGTGGCCTGACCCGCTGGGCAGCGCGTGAAGAAGTCGGCGTATGTCTTGATGCGGATGGTCTGCAGCTGTTCCTGCCACTAAAATAAAGCGAGAGCCACCGCCCCCGGCCACCGAGTTTTCACAGAATTCACCAGCCTCTTGGAGGCCGAACATGAAGCTGCGGACGGCCTTCTCATAGGGCCGCGGTAAGGGGACCGTGCTTGAGACCTGCAGGCGACGGTTCACACTTTTCTAGCATCAACCTTTTATGGCACAGCAAGAGAACTGCAATGCTCTGAACCGTATTCACCAGCTGAGCACCACACGACTCGCTCGACATTTTCCCACAGCCAGTTCCATGCCACTTCGTGGTTCATGTCCTTCGACATTGAAGGAGGGTGCAACCGTTTTCGGTCAAAGCCCCGACCCCCTTGCTCAGAAGAGGGTCCCACTCGTCCGGTATCAACGAGCGAAGTGCAGCAAGCCTGAAGCACAAGAGTTGGACTGGCCTGCATGTAGACTCTAGCGTAGGCAAAGTGATTTGTGGGGCTGCAGGTTTCTCTGGGAATCTTGCCGGAAGGCCGAAACTAGACACGGCCAAACGCCTCGAAAACTATCTCAACAGCATGTTGCAGGATCTCTTCGCCCCAACATTTCTTCACACCATGCGACATCACCGCCCGGAAGTCCGGCAGTGATAGGCTGGAAGGGTCCGGAAGCTTCGCCAAGCACAGGGACAACACAAAGCATTCCTCCTGGCAGCAGAAGAGGAAGGGCCAAGTGCCAGCAGAAAAGAACTACACTTTTCGCCGTACCTGGACCCGCGATGTGTTGGCTATGTTGGACGCAATGTTGTCGAAGCGGTCTAGCACCAGATTCATCCATGCAGTCTCCTCGTAAGACAAATCTAGGCTTTGGTAAGGCTGCGCTCTCGCAAGCTGGCAGGATGCTCGTAAACATGTCCGTGGGCAAGCTTTGTGTTGGCACATCACCCACTCTGTGACTATCGCTTGGGGAAGCCTCAGCGTTAGCTCCGCCATGCTCTGCCAAAGCCCCGAAACCAGCTGCATTTTGGGCTTCCAAGGCTGCCAGGGATCCGCGAAGCCCATGACGGCGGCGTTGAACATGAACATGCCAGAAAAGTCCGTGGGAACTTGCCTTCGTTCGATCTGGCCGTCAAAACCCTACCCTGATCGAGCTTCGAGACCCCAAGTCGCCGCAGAGCAGCTCAGCCCCCGGATGGCTCTGCCGTCTAAGATGTCATGGCTCTGCCGAGCCTTCTCAGGTGATCCTTTCAGCCCTAGCCGAGTTTCATCGCTGGGTTCTTGTTGTTCTTTGCGCCAACCATGAAGCTGCTCCCTTGGCTTCGTTTGACTCGCACGACTCAACACTGCTATAGCAGCTCAGCCGCTCTGCTGTTCTTGGTCTGGGTTTGGCTTGGTCTGGACCCGGGCTTTCTTTGAGTCCTGGGAACGATGACCCACATCGACACTACCTCTGCAGACGAAGTCCCCGCTCGCGTGGCCTTGTTCGCATTGCTGTCCGCCTGGGGGCTGCTCTCCTCTCCTTCCTGCAGCGGCAATTCCGAGACACGAGAAGCAGCTGTTTTCAAGAGAAACACAATGAGCGCTCCGTCCTCCTCTGGCTTGCTCGGGTCTTTGTCGGCACCTGGAGGGCTGTTGGCCCCAGCTGCATTCTACCAGTAGCATCTTATGATCGCAGTCTCCCGTGATTTGACACAGTGCTCTCCGAGGCCCCTCTCGAAACTTTCTATCGCACAAGCCAAAGTTCCTCCGGTGCGGGTGCGGCCTTCCGGAAGCAGAGCATTCTCGAGAGTCTCTTTCTTGTTCACCTGCTGCCAGCTGCGCTGGATGATCCTCCCACAGGAAGGAAACCGTTCAGGCCCAGTTCAGGCTTGTGAAAGCAGACTTAATGGCATTCGAGAGAAGCCCTTGCAGCAGACGCCAGCAACCCAAGCCGTCCACCCCTGTCATCCTGATTCGGTCCGCCAGCTCACGCAGCACGAACACGAATGCTCCTGACACGAATCACCCTGAAATTCCACGTTGGTGAAGCTGTCCAACTATGACAACAGCTCCCAGGTGCTTCACCCAAGATCACACCAGCTCCTCCAATGTAGTTCAGCAACAAGGTAAAGCACTGGCGCGATCTGTCAGTGAAGCTGCCACCTGCATGCGATGCCGGCACGCAGTGCTCGAGCTACCCCTGCCGTCCCCGCCTAGCTCCATGTCTGCAACGCTGATGATGGCTTCGCGGACGAGCTCTACCCGAGGGACCGTCACTGCGAAATCTAAGTGCATGAAGCCGTAGGTCTCCTCGCGAGGCGAGCCGAGGCGAGCCAGGAGCTGCGTTTGTGAGGCTCCGGATGACATCGGGCCACAGCTCAAAACATCTCCAAAATGCTTCGGGTCTCCACAACTTTCTTGAAGGAAGACGGCGAGTCCAGCTCAGACAGCATGCCTGGGGCCGTTGCCAGGGTGCCAACAGGCGGAAGCGCAAAGCGGCCAAGTCACTGTTCATGCCGTTAGAAAACCGCAGCGCGAAGACCTTGGCTGGACTTTGAGACCTTGTGCTTACTCCCAAAGTCCAGAATAAAACCTCCTGCGTTGCGGTGCTCTGGCTGTCAGGAGGCGGACTTCGGCGACTTGAAGAACTGCTTCAGGCCCGGTGCCTGCTCCAGGCTCACATTTGATTAAGCTCCACACAGATTGGAATCATGTCGTGATAAGCTTCTGAACCTCAGCCTCTTCAACAAAGGCAGCATTGCAGCATTGAAAGCTGGCCCGAAGCCACCCCATCACTGTCGCAAGCCCCGGGCCTCGTCCATGATCGTGTCATAAATCGCTTCCCCAACTGCTTCTCGAGACCCCATCTTTGATATGAGGGCCTGGTACACATCAAGCTGACACAAACTCCGACAGATTCGAATTGAGCTTATGGTCCTGCCACGTCTGTCTCATCTCGTCGCAAACTTCCGCAGGAAGGTGCAGCTCATCGAAGGTTGCGTCGTAAACTGTCTCATACTTGTTGAAGACAGCCTTGGATTGGCACAACATTGAACACGATCACATCACTTGCAGCCATCGGGGAGAGTATCAGTTTCAGCTGCACGCTGCCTATGCCATCAAACGACATGCTTGACCACGCCATTCGGAGCGTTGCTCTCCTCCGCTTCGGTGGTCTCTTCTTCCTCCTGAGTATAAAGACACGATTCCGAAGTTGCCACAGCGCACTTCTTGAAATGGCTGGAGTACAGCTTCCCACGATTGTGGGTAGCTCTAATGCTGTCGCTCCAACAAGAGAACTCAACTTACACAAACACCGACGTCCTCTTCCTCCACTTCCGTCAGATCTTCAACTGTTGCCTGCACAACACTGACCCAGGCAAAGCACACAGGGAGAGCACACAGTAGCAGTCAGAAAGACAATAAACGACGGTCCATTGGTAGTACACGAAACAATCAGTGCTCAGCGCAATGAGCATTGCAAATCCTACGTTTTCACAAAACGAATTCTTTGCGCTTAGCATGTGTAGCATCCTATCTGGTAAGGAATACACTGGCCGCTTGCGGTCGCATTTCATCGGCCGAAGTTTGCCAGATAAACTGGAGTCCGGCCCCGTCTCCCTCAATATCAGTAGGACTCAAGCCAGACGGTGCTTTTGTGATGTGTTTCCCATGACATGTTGTATGCCAAAATTTGAGAGCTGGCATCCTCCAATAGCACCCGGCACCCTCTCTGCTTCTGCCTCCACCATCTCCAGAGTGTCCTTGGCAGCAGACGGCTGGACAGATCCGATCACCTCTCCTTGAATGCTCATGGTGCCCTCATTTCCTGCAAGCCCTAATTGTGCCAAGGTTTCGGGCTCCTGCTCCTCACTCGTCATCGTATTCTCCCGCCCACCGCTGAGTGATTCGGACCTTTCTGCCTGCGAGAATCAGGCCGTCAGACAAAGCACAGCTGGAAGGATTCGGCACGTGGCGTTCCAAGCGAGCATGTCAATATCGCGGTGACTCTCATTGCATCTCATTGCCGCCCCGGTCCGGCAGGAACTCCATTCCGGCGGAGTCGCGGCGCCACGGCAGAGTCGTGTGGGATCGCTATGGCTCTCGTCTCACGATGGAAATTGCACAGTTGAGGTTTGGAACGAGGCCTTTGCCCCGCCGCAACTTGACGTGGCAACTGGTTGTCTCCAGCAAGCAATCGGAGCCCTTGTTCTGCACATGCTCATGGTTTGGAGTCACGTTTGAGCAACTGCGGTACTCTGTGCTCCTGTTGCCTAGCCGTGTTCACCAACCAGATGCGATTGACAAGTCAGGATGCAGGAGAGGGTCCGCGGAAACACACGGAGTATGTCATAGTTCAGAACCCAAGGCGAGCACGGCGCGAAGAGCTCGCCTTCGGATCGGCACCTGGGAAGGTATGCCAGCATCTGAGACATGACTCTGAAGGATCTCTTTCTGCCCAGGCCACGAGGCCCTGAAAGGGATCAACCGTCGAGGCAGCCTCGGCTGGCGGCGGCTCCGGCCCTCAAAACAGCATCCTCTTCGAGGAGGCACAGGCAGGGAGAGATTGGGTTGTCGAATGGTTCGGACCACTTCTGAATCTCTGAAGTCGAGCCGACCGGGAAGTCGGTCTTCGTGGGCCAGGAACAGGACCACCCGAACACTCAAGCGTCCTGGAAACCTCTCGAGGAAAGATACGTCTTCAACACAGCATCTCGGTTCATGACGTGTCTACAGCAAACTGCATAGAGTAGTATCTCCTGTAGAAACAAGATCGTGCTAAGGGCACGCTGTGTCGAGTGGTCGGTTCCCCCACATTGCCCCACTGAAGGCGGCCTTCTGGGCCGGGCCCCTCTGCTCTGCGCCTTTCTCTCTCAGTCTGAGCTTGGAACCGCCAAAGCGGTTCCTCCTCGTGGCCGGGCTGTCCACGCGAAGCCCTGGAGGCGGTTCCCCCAGCTTCAAGGCGACTCTGCTCCTAGCCCTCTCAAAGCCCAGGCGCCTCGAGGGTGCTTGAAGCCGAAACCTGGGCCTGCAGGCATGATACACGTGATGAGAAGTGTCTTTGCACGTGAGCTTCGCCGCTTCTCCACTTGCGCACTTGGCCCCCAGCCCGCATCGTCCGAGAGCAGGAGCCCCGGCAGTTGCAGGCACTCGGGGGGTGAGGCTTGCAGGGCTCAAGGTCTTGGCTTGGGGCTTAGGGCTTAGAGTGTTGGAATGTCTTGGGTGCATGGGCTGCGGTTGCGCAGCCAGTAAACCCTGCAGGTTGTGAGTATCGGCGGAAAGGTGACCATGCAGCATGGCTCTCGGGACATCCTCCGAACGCCCTGAGTGACTTCTTCGACACTTGGCTCCAGGCCCAAAGCTCCGGTATGCTCCGGTCTACTTTTCGGTGTCGGCCAGGCCCAAGCTGAGAGGAAACTCGTCTCAGGTCTCAGGCTTTAAATATTTCCGGATCCAGACAGGCCAGAGACTCGGAGTCCCCTTCTCTGCGATCCTTCCCGGAGAGGCTCGCTGGTCCGCTCTCGGAGCTTTCCAGCATCGTCGACTGAGCTGTGCCAGCGATCCCTGGTCCAAAACCCGAAGAATCAGTTCCGACTGTGCTGCCTGCAGTATCCCTGCGCACTTCACGGACTCCACGGAGCAAGAGCCGGAACTGTCGCTAAGGGGTGACACATCTGTACACGGGGCTTCTCAGACCTGCCAGTTTTAGCAGCTTGGCCCGAAAATGGCAATGGAAGACTCAGGGGTTGACGTCTTGCCTGGTCAAGTTCCGCAATACTTGCAGCAAAATGTGGGAAGCTAAGCTTGGGTTGTTGGCAAGCTATCCTCCTGTTGGTTGGTGTCGCCGGGTGCTGGTGCTGACGGCGATTGCGGCGGCGGTGGCGTGGTCCCACAAGGAGTCCCTTGCGGCGGCCTGCGTCACTCTTCCGCAGGTTGCGCGTCGAAGGTTTTGGGCGCCTGTCCAAGGTCTGCGAGATGGTGCGACAGCTGAAGCGTCCCCTAGCCATCGGAAAATCGGTGACAAGCGAACCCCCGAAGCGACAAGCCGAGGTCCTTCCTCGCAGTGCGAGGTTAGAAGCGGTCAGGGGGGTGCCCCGTGCCTTTTTTGGCTCTGGCCGCGCTGGCACCTTCGCCCCCTCCTGGCGCTTAAATCTTGCAACGGATGGCGGGCAAGGCCGAGTACTGTTCAAACGCAACCGCTTCACTCCCGCAGCGTCGCCTTCGGCGTGAGATTTTCCATCTCCTTCTTCGTCGTCTCCGCCTATCCAAGCTGACTGGAGGCTTTCGCAGACCCTTGAACCCAACCCTTGTGGAGCAGTGCACGGACCTCTTGCTTCCGGCGGCCGCCAATGTCCTGTGCCTGGCCCTTGATCGCTAGCTGGATTTCCTGTCGAAAGACTCGAAAGGCTTGAATATCCGGAAGATGCAAAAGTGAAGCTTCAGAGAAACAGAAAGCTGAGACATTGTGGGTTCTCCCTGAACGGCGCACGTCTGCGATGACGCTGCGACAGCTTGATTTCATGCCGCCACAAGGGAGTGTCTTCAAGTCCTCAGCACTGAGAGTCTCGTACTCGATCAGAGCCTCGTTCAGAGGACCACACGTTGCGATTCTCGGCAATGTCTGCACTTGATCCCATACGACTCGCACATGTACACCCAGAGACCCGTGCCTTCGCTAGATGGTGGAGCTCGTCGCGGTGGGTCCTAAGGCGTCGGCGACTAAAGCGACCAAGGATTGACTGACTTTGAAAGGCCTGCCGTGACAACACAATTGAAATCTTCAACGACACGGGGGTTTGGCCTGAGATACTCGGAGGCTCGATGATAGGCATCGTTCCTCGGAGTCTCGCTTATCTTGGATGCTCCAATTTACATGGAAGGCGTTCACGAGAACCTCAGCCAAGCCGCAGAAGCGACTGGGTCTTGTGGTCGATGATCTGCTTGGCCTCTGGCTGTTGGCCGTCTGGCTGCACTGGTTAAGGCGGCAGATAGATGTCAGAAAATAGTTGCATACGACATACCATCGCATACATCCGGCGATACAGTCCATATACATGTCAAGTCAGATGCATAAACGAAAAGTGTTGCATTTAGGACGAAGATATGCATATGTGCAAGCATACACCGATGTACATGCACACTTGCATACCTGCATGACCACGCACACACCTATATGTACACATGTATCTTCATGCATGCGTATGTATATATATATATGCATGCATAAATGCATACATGTGTGTTTGTGTGTGGAAACTGTACAGAAATTTTCCTTGTGTGTAGAAAGATGTACAGAAATCTGTACATAAACACAAACAGACACACTATCTATCTATCTATCTATCTATCTATCTAACTATCTATCTATCTATCTATCTATCTAACTATCTATCTATCTATCTATGTTATATACATATATACACGCAAACATACCCGGTGTCATACACCTCGATACATACAAATATGCATATACCTATGCAGCCTATGCATATACATACACGTACACATACACATATAAGCATACAAGTACAGGTACATGTGCATATACATGCTCGTATATACATACATCAACTTATGCACATATGTCTACATATGTACATATGCGTGCATGCATGCATGCATGCATGTATGTAGGTAAGATTATATATGCGTGTATGTAATTTTGATTATGTACGTATGCATGCACAGATGTGGCATCTTGAGCCGTCACTCTCGGAAGTACAATCCCGGTGAAATACTCCCGGGCACCTCATCGGAGAGGACTGCATACTCGTCGACGTCTAGTGAGAGGAGGCCAGCCTCAACGGTCTGTTGAAAAGCACCGTGCAACGCCAGACAGTGCTTGCTGGGTTGAATGGGACATCTCTGAAGCTCGAGACACCCCCACCTCCTTACCCCCTGCCATGCCGAAGTTCATGACCATTCGCCGGGCCAGGCCTGTCGCCTCCGGGCTCTGTGGACAAAACAGGAGCCAGAAAGCCGGCTTGAATACCACTCGGAAATTGCTCCTCGAGTTCCAGGAATTAGTTGAGAGTAGCCAAAGCCAGGCCTCTCACAGATAGTCAACCGCCTTCTGACGGCCGACGAGAATGAAATGGGCTCTGTGTAAGTAACAAACAGAAGCCTTCATGGCGAAGACTAAGAAGACACTCGACATCTAAAGCTCTGCCGACATGGACTTTGGAAGAATGCAGGTGTCCCACTGGGTGCAGTTGCGCACCTGCCGCAGGTCGGAGGTGCAGCCGGCAGTTACATTCTCTGGCCCGAAGATGAGCTCCTGGCTGGGCTTGCGTAACGACATCGCGAAGCGCTCGCACGGATCCCCAGTTCCAAATTTCAACAACCACGACAGCTCAACACAGGGGAGGGCGGCAGCGTACTCACTAAATGCTGAGCACAGCTCGAAACCATCACCGCATCCTGAACCCTGCCTTCAACTTACAAAGACGTTGATGGAAAAATAGCCTGAATCCTGACACCCCGCAATGTTTACAGCCACGCGCCTCTGCAGCTTTGCCACCCATGAGGACATCCAGGCGTGCCTCACAGAGTAGCCCAGTATTTCTGGCAGACTTGTGGGGTCTTGCACAAAGCAAACACGGCAGCGGAAGGAGCCGGACAGCACCACTGCCGTTGCCACTGCAACTGCAACTGTTGTCCTGTTGCTGCTGCTGCTGCAGCTGCTGCTACCTCTCCTTCTCCTGCTCCTTGTTCCTGCTGCTTCTGCTACTGCTACTACTGCTGCTACTGCTACTGTTGCTGCTGTTGCTGCTGCTGTTGCTGCTGCTGCTGCTACTGCTAATTTACTGCTACAGCTACTACTACTGCAACGGCTACGGCGGCTGCTGCTAGTGCTTCTGCTACTCCTGCTGCTGCTAAGACTGAAAGAACCACAATAACAATAATAGCTGCAACAGCAACACTGATGATGATGATGATGGTGATGATGATACCAATAATAACCATAATAGCAATAATAATGATAGAAAGAATAACAATCCTAATCCGAATACGAGTGCTAATGCTGACTAATGATGAGAGTGACTGCCAGTGCTCATATTTCGCATTATCATGCTGCTACTAAGACTACTGCCACTGCCACGGCCCCAGCCACGGCCCCTGCCCCGGCCCCTGCCCCATCCTCTGCTGCTGCTGCTACTGCTGCTTCTACTTCTACTTCTATTGCTGCTACTACTAGTAGTAGTCCTACTACTACTACCTACTACTACTACCACCACCACCACCACCACCACGACGACGACTAGTAGTAGTAGTAGTAGTAGTCGTCGTCGTCGTCTTCTTACTAGGAAAGTCAACGTGCTCCGTCCTCAGCAGCCTGGCGAGCAGCCATCTCAGCCGCCAGAACTTGTTGTGAATCACTGGGAACACCCGCGGTTTGCAGCTGGATGTAGGCTTCCTTATTTGCAACCATTCGCAAGTTGCGTGCCTTCTCCACATGGCCTGCAGCTTCAGCTTCATCGGCTCGCTGCCCGATAGCTGCCATCAGCTTTGCAGTAAATTGCGCCTGTTCCAACACTGCAGGTTCGATTGGAGGTTCGGTTCCAGGTTCTGCCGTTTCCATTGGGTCTTCGGTTCCAGGTTCTGCCGCAGGTTCAGCCACAGGTTCTGCTGCGGCCTGCTGACATTGTGCAAGGCAAGTCTGTTGCAATGTAGCTTCGTTGTGCGAGGCGCCCATTGGATGGTCCTGCTGCGGGCACTGGACATTCCAAGGAATGTCACAGTCCCACAAGGCCACCAGCTTCGTGCACCAGTCGTCATTGACAGGAAGACTGCAGCCATTAACCTCACTGGGCAATGAGTAGAACTTGTTGCCGTGGGCCCCCAGCAAGCTCGACAGGATGACGAAGAGCGCCATGATTGCTGCGTTGAGATCAGGATGAAATGAAGGCTCGCTTGTTTGAGCTTAGCTTCGCTGCAGCAAACCATCTCACAAGGCTCATGTGGATCATGGGCATGCAAGCGTGATGAATGTCACGACGGCACAACATCAAAACGCTACATGGGCCCAGCTAGTTTAGACCTGCCCTGCTGCAGCTCTTGCGGATGCGAAAAGTCGACTACAAGATGCCGATGCCCATTTAGCTTAGAGGCTCCGCTGTCGGCTGCTGCGGCTTTCCCTAGGTGCACTCCTGCTAGGCCACTGTGGGCGCACGGCAGGAGATGAACTGCTCCGCGCCCTCTGAGTAGTTGGGCCTTGAAAGGTCCAGTGCACTTGCGCTGCGACCAAAACCGAGCCATTGCATCTGCAGTTAGGCGGCAACCATGTTGTTTAAGATACGATAACTGGGTTTTGGGCGTACAGCTTTAGAGTTTGGACTTTCATGGTCTGCGCCGGCAGGTTTCA